CTCAACATATAAGATCATTCATTATATAGTTATTGTATAAAGAAGCCATAGGGTATTTATACTTTTTTTCTTTCTTTTTTAATCATAGGGAATACACATAGCGTACTGATTGCACAGCAAGTGTCCTCAAGTGTCTCCTTGTTTACAGGATATAAACAAGAGGGAGAATCAGGCAGAAGTTCGGGTAGGAGGCAGGTATCCTTCTTTCATATAGTTTCTTTGTACTAAAACGCCGAAGAAATATCTGTGATTCCAAGTAAACATTGGTTTCTTTTACTTTTGCATTTTATAAGAAAAGTTGTAATAGTTGCTCTGGAAAACCGGTGTAATGAATATTTTTTTTATAATGAATTTACGAATGTTGCAGAAGACTAGTATTACACAGTTGGAATGTAAAAAAATCAGTGCTTATTCCTGATGGTTTCCTGCACAGCGTGTCATACTTCTAATTTCCATTCTCAGAAAACAGTTTTACGGATAAAATTGTTATTACAAGTGTAGTGGCATGGGGGTAGCCGTTGCCAACCCCGGGGTATGGTAGCGTGGGGGCGCGAGCGGTGTTCGGAAGCGGCAGGGGCACGGAGATCAGAGGCTGCAAGATGTTAAACAGCAAATATCCACACAAAAGAGATTGGCTAGAGGAATGGGCACAAATACAGCAACTTTATAAAAAAAAGATTTTACATTAAACAGTATAAGATGAGAAAAATAGTATGTAAAACATTGAACAGCTAAAACAGTAAGATAAAAGTAAAACAATAATTCAAATAAAAGAAAACATGAATAAGATATAACTTAAAAAGGGATCCAAGGAGAAGTGTAACTACTGCCAACGCCGTCTTCTTACTACCTTGCCCTGGCACACTACCTAACTACCGTCAACCAGTGGCTCACCCGTCCCGCGTCTTTTCGGTATGTTTCCGATATTACATCCCTTTTCTGTGTTACTTCATGTATATAGCACTAAAGCATGTAGAACAGCGGCATCCATTATGGCCCAACAACAGAGCCAGGAAAGGGAGATCGTGGATAATCGGGCAGAAGGAAGTATGCTCCGCGGAGAAGGTATCACTACACAAGGACATGATCAAATATTCAATAATTGATTATCTAAATCAAAATTTCCCAACCGGGTGTCCTCGCAAATCCAGGGAGTGTGAGATAGCATTCCACAGGGTGCGAGAAATGTCCATCTTGAAGACTGGCAATTAATCTATCGATTACTCATAACTAAGAAACAGGATGAAAAGAGCCATTGATATGAAATTTCACTTATATACACGTTTTAAAGTCAGTTCTTTTATATTTCTATATGTAGATATTTCAAGCATATTTTTTGTGGGGTTTATTCAAATAATCTTCGACATGCTTTCTTGTCCATTTTTTTTTTTTTTTTTTTTTTTTTTTTTTTTTTAGAAAATGAAAAAAGAATATTTTATCTTGCTGATCAAATTTAGTGTAAGTTTACCTCCTTTGTCCTTAACGATGCTCTGAATTTAACCGGATTGCGAGGACACAGTAAAATTTCTTAAGGGTGCGGGGGTAAGCTACTGATCGAGAGAAGTACACAGCTAATATTAGCCGTCACTGAGGAGTAGCCATTCCATCGAAAATCGTAATGGGGTCTTCAGGGAATCCAAGAGGGCATACTGAAACAAAGAAAAGAGGAAGACAAGTGAAGTAAAGAAAGGGAAGAAGACGTATATAAAAAAAAAAAAATGAAGAAAGAAGATAGTAAGGGGAAGGAGAGAAGAATTTTTTAAAAATGAAAAAGTTTCCATTAACCGCCATATCAAATGTTTACAGAAAAGTTGAAAATTGGTGTCCAACTTTTGATGTGGATTTCTATTACAATTGTTATGTTATAGAGTGGATTTATATTCATTTTTGTTTTCAATTTATCACGAGATCATTCCCTATAAGAGAGAGGAGAGAGAGAGAGAAGAAGAGAGAGAGAAGAGAGAAGAGAGAGAGAGAGAGGAGAGAGGAGAGAGAGAGAGAGAGAGAAGAGGAGAGAAGAGAGAGAGAGAGAGAGAGAGAGAGAGAGAGAGAGAGAGAGAGAGAGAGAGAGAGAGAGAGAGAGAGAAGAGAGAGAGAGAGAGAGAGAGAGAGAGAGAGAGAGAGGAGAGAGAGAGAGAGAGAGAGAGAGAGAGAGAGAGAGAGAGAGAGAGAGAGAGAGAGAGAGAGAGAGAGAGGAGAGAGAGAGAGAGAGAGAGAGAGAGAGAGAGAGAGAGAGAGAGAGAGAGAGAGAGAGAGAGAGAAGAGAGAGAGAGAGAGAGAGAGAGAGAGAGAGAGAGAGAGAGAGAGAGAGAGAGAGAGAGAGAGAGAGAGAGAGAGAGAGAGAGAGAGAGAGAGAGAGAGAGAGAGAGAGAGAGAGAGAGAGAGAGAGAGAGAGAGAGAGAGAGAGGAGAGAGAGAGAGAGAGAGAGAGAGAGAGAGAGAGAGAGAGAGAGTGAGTCTGGGATCCATTCTAGACACTCGCCAGTCTCGCTACAGAACTCTATTCCAAGCGACGTAAACAGTAAACACGTGCGGCGAGCTACAGGCAGGCGGAAGGTGTCTTCATTTATGTTGGAAAAAAAATCATATAACACAACGTTCGCATAGATCTTGCCAACGAGAGGAAAATTAACAAGTTCACTTAATTCTCTGAGGAAGATATATTGAAGTAAAGAACAGGAAAATCACAAACATGGTGAGTGTATCGAGTTGTAATGGAAATTTTGATGAATTTACAGTGTAGTTCATAGTAAACAGACAATAATTCTATGAGTAATATTGTTACTGTAGCCTCCCATCCCATACTATTATCTGCATTCTATTATGCGTTTTATAGGGTCAGAATATGTTAAGACAAGCATGATCATTTTTTGCATATATTGATAGACGTGGTACCGGTATTTGGGTAATTTTAGAGATGGTAATGGTGAAGTGACTGCCCCCTTGCTAAACCTATTACTCCAGCTAACAACCTTAGGGCATTTCTAGGAATCCATGGTAATTTTTTCAAACATGTCCACATGATGGATCGTGATGATTTTGGTATCCTGGGATTCCTCTCACTGACTAGTTTCCAGATATACACAAATTATCCAGTGGAAAACTCCCAACCCTCCACATTCTTGGCCCCAGTAGCAGAGGAGGGCATGAAAGCTACCAGGGGAAATGTAAATATTATATGTAGAATCAGTCACTATATTGTATAATGCAGGGGGCTGTTCCCTCCCCCCCCCCCCCCATGGAGAGCTACCAACCCCCAATCCCCACCCAAGAAAATAAAGAATCCTCCACATATTCAAAGCAGGAGAGCGTATGACTACCATGCAGGAACGCTGTTGCCAAGTCTGTCCGATACTTTCTCCTGCCATGAATACATGGAGAATTTGTTGTATTCCTGGGCAGGGGATTGGGGGTGGCATGTGTATTATTCACATTTTACCCCGATTTTCCCTGGTACCTTTCATGCCCTCCCCTGCTATCGGGGCCAAGAATGTGGGGGTTGGGAGGGCTTCCACACAATAAAACCAATATGTTTGCATTGTAGATGATGAGAGGAATGCAGTGATACCAAATTCGTCACAATCTGTCGTACGGACTTATTAGAAAAAATTACCCAATCCACAAACATTGCTGTATTATCCCAAAACTTTCCTAGCCTCCATATATCACAGTTCTCCCTGAAATCTTTATAAGTAGAAACTGCAGAAAAACTTTTCAATGGAATGATGCCTATGATCCTGATGTCAAACTTACAAGTTCTGGATTTAGAATACAAGTAAAATACAAAAACACCAAAGGATATTTTTAATCACAGGTAAAGGGCAGACAAGGGTGTTTGTCCTTGACCATAACTTCTCTCTACTTCTTTAGCCAGATACTCTAGGCTACCTCTAGACTCCCACCCAAGCTGTTTGACCCAATCAGGATAATTTTATAGAATAGCTTCACATATTCAATCACAATGATTTTGGTATTGGTAGGCTCCTTTCACCCTCTACAGATATGTAGAAATTATGCTGTGGAACCGCCCCCCAGACCCCCATTTCATCTATAGTATTGTCATACATGAAAAATGTCATATTCAATATTATAACTTCTTATTTTCAACTAGTGTTGTTAATAGCTTTTATTCCATGTATTATTAACCTGTGATATATGGCTTTCCTGACTCTAAAATTATAAACTCTTCATAGGTTCGGTTAGGTTTCTAGATTGCAGATACCTGTAACCTGGTAAATTAACAGAATGAAGTTATATCCATGTCAGAGTAACTTTTCACCTCCTTTGCTTCTTTAAAATTAACCTTTTGTCTTTGCACAGGGGAAGCACAAAATCAACGTCTTGAAGGAGAACCAGAAGGTCATTCATCCCAACAGCAGGAAGGCCAAGAAGTTAAGTAAGATGGTCAGCAGGTAAGAATGATTTTTCTTCTTTATCTTTTACTTATTCTCCTTTTTTTTTTTTTTTTTTTTTTGTCTCACTTGCAAGTTGTTACCCCATCCATCCATGGTACCTCTGAGTAAAAACACCCTAATTTCTGGGTGGTAGTTATAGCAGCAAGTAACCACTGCTTGGGACCCGTTTGTGAAGCACATGCGGCGGGTGAGAACACAAGTGTATCACATTTAAGATCCCAGCTACTGTCCATTAGCTTGATGCCCTTCATTGTTGGATTAGGGTACCATTATGCTGTTCTCTATACACACAAAAGCCTCTCCTAACACACTTAATTGGATCTGCACATGATGGTAAGAATTAACAGAAATTATTCTGTTCTCGGGTAGACAGACTACCCACTTTATTTAAAAATGCCCCAACAATAAATATCCTAAGCAATATTACAAGTATGAAATGGGGAGTATAAAATCAATAAATGAATGCAGAATGTATTGAGAACATAAAATAACAAAGTATATGGTAACCTTATGTAGCAGTTAAAGCAAAATAAAAACTGTAAATATGAAGGTAACAAAAAACTATCACAGTTACATTTAGTTTAAAGGAAGGTAGGAAAGGTTGACAGATTCACCAGAAGGCTTCCTGGCTTGCACCTGGCTTTTCAGAACTTCCATCCTATGCTGGTCAAGAGCACACAATCACATCTTGTCAAGAACTTGTATTTCTTATTTAGCATTAAGTATGGGCAAATTGACTCCACTGTATGACAGCTGCTGATGATGTTACTAATCAAAATTGGCTTAATGCCAAGTGCCCAGCCCACATAACTTGAAAACACTGATGAATTTTAGTGTGTTAGCAAAGGGTTTTAACTTTTTTCAAGTATGCATGGTAGTAGTATTTTACAACAGCAGAACAGAAGATATATCATTCTTATTGTTGAAATAACTTTGTTGTAGAAGTATTTTTGTTGTGATCGTTTGCTGCTCATTCAAGATATTTTATTTGATGCTTGTAAGGATGTACTCTGGAAACATTAGATATTCACAGGATTTCATGTTTGATGTTAGTATAGCCAAAGACAACATAAACCAATATCATTTGATATTTTCTTCCCATTCTTTCTCATTTATTTTCTTATTGTTCTACGCATCTACAGAGAAATCAAAATGAAGAAGAGAAGAGGTGAAAATAACTTGAAGCTGCAAGTTCTGGGCGACAAACTGCTGTGGTTCAAGAAAGAAATGGATCCAAGTATAGAGGTGGTCACTCCTAAGGATGTTTTGAATTTGATACAAAAGTAAGTGCAGTATCTTGTAATGCGGGAATGTTATAGAAGTGAAAGTATTATATATGTATATTTCTTTTTTTCTTCTTCTTTTCTATTCATTTTTAATGCTTCTCTGAAAAAATAGTACTCATGATTTCCTACTTTTTTCTTTACTTTTTTATTCATTTCTCTTTTTTTCTTCTTCTTTTTTTCTTTTTTTTTCTCTTTTCACACTTGCAAACCAACTTTTTTATTTGTTTCTAGGATTTACTCCAAGAAAACCTGCTAAATATTATGGTTGTAGAATGTTATGGTTTCAGAAATTTGTTCAACATGTAATACTTTATCGTCTGACTTTCCCTTAATTATACTTTTAGCATACAATGAAGGAAAATCCTACACATTACACAAGTTTAGTGGAAAGTTTTCAGTCAGTTTACATTCCCTCTTCGGGTCAGAAAATGAAATAAAGGTCAATTTCAAATCAACGTGTTTGAATTAATATAGGGATTTTGCACAGCAATGGCACTGCTCAGTGATAGTGCTGGCTTTGCAATATCAAGGTCCTTGGTTGATGCCCAGTTGACCTGCACTCTCAGTCGACTCATTTGTGATACTGGCTATGTGCAGCACAGTTGAAGTCAGAGTGGAAATGGACTGATCACCTTAGTATCATGCAACTTACTGCCTTTTTTCTTTTTCCATTATGTTTCTTTGGCAATAGTCATATTTCATATCTTGCCTGGGTCACTCTTTAATTAATAACTAAGAGGCTGATTGGTCAATATCTGTTTGTTACACTATTTCTGTATCCACATATTGTGTTGAATGTTTATAATCAGACTAGCTCATTATATTTATTTCAGAAGCCTAAAGATTTAAACAATTTTAAAGTCTGACCATTTAAAATTTTATACGTTTTTACCTTCCTTATGCTTATGGATGTTTATAGAGCTTTTCAAAGTATATAATAATAGGATATGTGCAGTTTATAGTCTGCTGCCTATTGAGGTTTGCATTATCTGTGTCTTTTCAGTTTCCATTTGCCTCCCCCCCCCCCCCTGCAAAAACAAAAAACAAAAAGGCATTCTTTATTTATTTATTTATTTTATCCCCCCCCCCCCAATCCTTTACAAAAATGTCAATCTGTGTGCCATAGGGTTTGCTTCATACGGTCTGCCTGAGCAGTGTGATGGATGTAGCCTGTATGCATGTGAGATCGCGAGTGAGAGTGTGTTGCTCGCATGGAGTGTCGAGTTGTGATGCGAACATGTGAAGAATCATGGTAAAAGATCAACTTAAAAGCTAGATAATAATAATATATATTTTGTATTATATATAAGTATCGCGGGAAAAGAATGCCAAAATACAGCATGTCCAGCCCGAGTCTCCTAAACGATAAGATAATTGCTGCATGAGCATAGTAGAACAGCCGCTGTATATCTAACGTGTCATAAATGGCTTTTTATATCTGTATGGTATAATAAGTAAATTTTTATCCTGGAAAGGTTAATACTGATAGATGATGGCCTGTACTAATTTCAACTATATAATTATTCTTATATATTATATGTTTAGTACATAACATGCAGTTTATTGAATATGGGTAAAGTATATGAAGTAAATGTTGGGGAGGGAGGAAGAGAACCAGATGGCAAGTAGCTATACAAGGACACACCCCAAAATTAGCTTAGACCACATACATGTGTATGTCACACATGTCAACCCATCCATCCCCACATATCCTAACACCTCACACCCACACTCTCACACTCTCCTCTATATGCGCCTACTTACCGTCCTACACCCACCCTTAACACACTACCCACACTAACCCTACTACCCTCATTCCCCTACCATCAACACTACAGATAATGAGAGAGTATAAGTGTAATTGTACTGACTCAGACAGTACTAAGTACAGTAGGTAGGAAAGCAGGCAGGCGATGATATAAATATGAAGTGTGGGGGTGATTCTATAATATATGTATTATATAATAAAAGATGATAATACTTAATTTAATACTAATACTCTAATTCTCCTTGTCTGCATTACATCTGTTTCATCTCATCTCTATATATTAATCCATCTCTCTCTCTCTCTCAGAAAATACAGTTTGAACTTTCTTTTACTGTGCCCATATAAGATAACTGGCAAACTTTCATAATTCATCCTACTCGTCAGGAGTAGCTCATGCTATATATATAGGTATCTACTATCAAACCTCTAAGCTTGCAGATATAAGTACAATAGAGAATAAAGACCTTGTAATGAATAATAATATTAACGATATGACAGACTTGAGCCGTGAGTGATTCTTCCTTCTGCTTAGCACTCAACAGAAGAGACCATGGATGAAGACACAGATGGGTTAAGAAGTATGTGAGATAAGTGATAGACGCAGCTATCCAGGTGATACATAGACAATTATAGGTACATGGGGAGTAAAGCGATAGATATATAATTGAGTGAAAGGTGTTAAAACTGTTAATACTGGATATAAGTAGTCTCAGTTATAAATTAAACTCTGGATAATGTGAAGTATGTGAGTAGTTTTTACTTTTTTCAATAATTTAATTATTTTTGTGCATTTATTTTTATTTTTGACGTTATCCAGTACAGTGTATATAGTGAGTGATGAATAGTGTAACTGGCTAGTTGATGTTGACTATATTAAGCAATGTCTCGACTTTTTATTTTAGATCAGATATGTTATTTATTAGTGTGGTGAGGGGTATTGCCTTGAATATCTATATACTACATTCTTTTTTTTTTTCTCACCTTACGATAAGTTTAACTATTATTATATAGTACATATATTGAACAATATATATGTCATCAATTATACTGTCACTAATATATATAATAGATGTTTGTTATGTATATATTAAATATGTTGTTCAGGTATACCGATAGATTTTTTTTTAGTGATATATAATTCGGCACTATTACAGGTCAATTGTGAGATAACATATATTTTATTTCTCACTCTATAATAGGTACTTTTGCTTTTCGTTACTCTTACGTAAAATTAACTAAGAGAAAGATTTTCATTGCACAGCAATATTATATAGCAGATAGGTTATAAACAAATAATGTGAACAAAAATTATAACTTTTAATATTAAGTGAATTATAAATTCATACATATAAAATACTATATTTCAATAATACTTACATTTTATATATTTACAATATAAAATTAATATAACTTTATCATAATTGTTACACAAATGTCTCTCAACGTGTATACTTTACTGACTTAATTTTATATATTACTAAACCACACAGCTATAGGAATATATACTTTAAAATGTTCTCACATCTACTATACGCACTCACAAATCCCATATACCATATCCTTGTCAATTTACCTCTATTAACATTATCAAGTACATCATTGGTATGTTCTACCTTATAGTGACTGGAAATAATATGATGTTGAGTTATAATAAATATATATAGCAGTAATCAAGTAGTATATCATCTCTCACACACTCTTACTTCATTCTTGTACCTTACTCTTGTGAAGATAATGGATTAGATATAATGATTAATTAGATATGATTAGTAATGCCTATATGGGAGATTATAGTGAAGAATTAGGTTGTATACTCTCGAAACAAGATATATTTCTATATTAATGAAGTGCAGTCTCATGCTAACATTAATCTAATTGGTCTCTATGTGAAAGTTTACGTAAATATGAATTATATAACTTAAAATAAGGAACCCCATATCTATATTAAATTCCTTATATAACATAAATATCTAGCCATAGTTTTTCTTATCTACCCTTAATATAAAAATATAAAACATAGGATTATAATGAAAATACTACAATATATTTATTACAATTTTTAAATAGTTAATCATATGACATAAATATAACAGATAAAGTATATTATACTTGATACACTTACCCCAAAGATTATATTATTAATTTATTTTTATTTTATTTATCAAATACATTAGTCAATTTTCTTTATGTCTCACGATAAGTTTCTTATACCTAATTGTATATTAATAATTATATATACCCTACTCACTACCCTTGTACAAAGAACTTTGTCAACATTTTAGTATTCAAGGATTAAAGGAAAAATATAATACAATAAGAAATTCACACACCACGATCAAGAATGCTAATATAATTATACTATTATTATATATATATATTATGATATATCCATACAACATACACACACACACACAACAACACACAACACACACACACACACAACCATAATATATATATATATATTATATTATATACTAGTTATATATATATATTCGATATGGATATATATTATAGGGTATATATAATGTATTGCGGCGTAGTAATATATGTATAATAATTAGTTATATAATTATATATATATATATATATATATATATATATACACACACACACACAGGCATCACACCTACACTACACCCAACACACACAGACACACACACACACACATAAACACACACACACACACGCACCACACACACACACACACACACAGACACACAACACACAACATATTATATATATATATATATTAGTATATATATTATATATAATATTATATATATATATGTGTGTGTGTGTGTGTGTGTGTATTGTGTGTGGTGTGTTGACTGATGACAACCATTTCCCGTTGAATAATTGAGTCGCTGATGATGCTCGCTCGCCTCGTGTGACTCATGTAACCACATTTCCCTTATCATTATTGTAATTAAGGATTTCATAATATGTAAATTAATAAACTCTAGGTAAACGCGTATCAATAAGGCTTTTATAGTGTGGAGTATTAATGTTATTTAGACTAGTGTATAATGCTCAAAAGTATTTAAATTGAAGTGTGCAGAACGAATAAGACATATGTATATATGTGTATATAATAATACCAGACAAATTTAGTATTATATTCAACAAATAACCTTATTATCACTATCCATGGTAATGATTTATATATATATACCACAACTATAAACACATGAACATCACACCACAACGCGCACACACAACACCTCACACACACACACACATCACATCAACTACTAATAAATAACAACAGTACCATATAAAAATACACAAGATCATCATAAAACCAAAAGGAAAATACCCTCACCCATTCTTCTTGAACATTCTCTCTATGTCTCTTTGAAAAAAGAATTATGAAAGAGAGTCATTGTTAGTATGCACCGCAGCACATATCAACAGCACACTCACAAATGAAGCCATACACAAACACAATACACCACTACATACAACATCACACACCTACAATTCACTGACACACAAGAACTCAGCTACACACACACACACATCTCACTACACACATAGATGCAGCACAGCACGCAGAAAAACTACACTACACACCTACCACCTCCTACCCATTCATGCACACACACACCCATGATAGAGCACACAACAACACACACACCACCACACACACATAGTGTCAGTAGGTTAAAGATAGTACTAAATTTACTGAGTGACAATAATACCCAAGTAATATTTCTATCTAATTAGTATATTACTCTTGCATTATCTATTAAATCATTATTGTTTTATTCTTATGTGTAGCTTTCTCATACCTTGAGATTTTCTGTTTTATAAGAAGTTATGTAAACTTGACGCATAATTGAAGTGAGTGCATATGTATCTTCTTTCATATAGGTCCGCCTGTCCATGTATCTCTTATGATATTAAAACTGTTTGACAACCACAGCTAAAAATCCTTTCTGCTTCTCATAAACTGAATGAATGCACACTAGATCATTTAAATTCCTATTATAATCTTCAGAACTTTAGATTTTGAAGAATTCACTTAGGTGTTAGCGCTTACTGTATACTCTAGCATCCAACACAATTACCACAACCTTTATGTAGGATTATTATGCATTATAATCCAACACCAGCAAATACAACTTATTTTTATCAATACAGATATATAATCAATAACTCGTTCTCTCTGTTTGATGTACATATGGAAAAAAAACTTATTTCTCATTTTATAAAGCCATTTTTCACAAAACCTCTAATAGATTTGTTCATGGCAATATGAAAAAATTATTAGACTTCATTAAATTTGTTATTTTTTCCAAAACATTTCCCAGTTATTGATCTTTATCTTATTACAGCGCACCGTTTACGGGAAATTACGAGTAAATGTATTAAGTAATTTGTTGTTGAGTGTGTTGTTTGAATATCAGTGAAAATGGGCACTGTGATGCAATAAGATTGTTGTGTAATACATTATTGTTCCCTTGGTTTCTCCCTTTCATAAAGATTTCAATAAAAGAAAACTACATACAAAACTTCAAACTTCGCAACTCTGATCTTGCCTTTTGCACATTAACAAGCTTATCAGCTTGAAGCTAATGGGTTTCTCGAAGCTCATACTTTACCCACAAAAAAAAGTAGAAATTCCAACCCTTCTTTACTGCCTAGTGTGGTTGATGTGTGTGTTCAAAAATTTTCATACTGTTTTTGTGTGTTGTGTCGCTCTTATGTGTGTGAAATGAGAATAAAATTCATAATTAACAACGCTCAAAACTCGTGATGTTCCTGTGTGTATGTAGCTCGTGATCTGTGTTGTAGTGTGGATAGCTCGCGTCGTGTGGTGTGGTCTAGCGCCCTGGGATAGTAGTGTGTGTGTACAGAATCGTGCTAGTGTAGCTATACAATAATACTGCCACTGCTTCTGTAATGGTCATTTTGCAAGACTCTGTGCAGCATTTTTTGTGTGTTCAATATCACAATATATATGTACTCATAATATAGATATTTAATAAATCATATATTATTAATATATGTGATATAAAAGCTATATATATCACCTATATATTTATATTTGGCATACCTTCATAGCCTAAGATAATTAATCAAGGTTATATTATATAATCAGTCCTTTAAAACTATGTATACTAGATATTACTAATGGATTTTTTAATATAAGGTGAATATAATAATAATAATATATATCTAGGTAGTATTGTCAATATATTGTAGTATATATATGTTATGTTCTCATCATATGAACCCCATTTTAAACTGTTGTGATCTTGTGTATGTGTATTGATAATATGAAAAAGAAATAATTGATTTAGTCACGTAGTATTTTACCCTATAATAATTATACTTTCTAGTATGGTTGTATAAATATTAGTATACAATATTATCAATTACTATTCTTAAAATACTATGTTTTCTCTGATTTATTAGTATATATTAATATATACAGTATTTTTAGTGGTGTATGTGTATGGTACGTGTATGTTGTTAGTGTATCTTAGTAATTATTATATATATTATATATGTATATGCTATACTAGTATTATATATATATTATTATAGTGTATATTTTATAATTATATATAATAATTATATTTGAATATCTGTTAGTTGTGTATGGTGACTGTACTGGTGTTAGGTATATATATTAATATTAATAGGAGATATATATTGCTTATAGTCATGCGGTGCGTTATATATATAGTATGTGTTGATGGTGTATGTGTTGTATCTTAGTGAGTATATATGTTTGATATAGTCCGTAATATATGGTGTATAGTTATGGTTGTTGTAGTTGTGTACTATATTGTATGTATTATGACACGTGTTAGTATATATATGATGTGTTATGTGTGTAGCTGTATATATATATATGATATAAAATATATATATATAATATTATATATATATAGTTTATATATAGTAGTTATTGTATAGTAGTATTATGATATATAGTTATTATATAGTATTAGTATATTATATATATATTTATTATATATGATATGTACATATATGATTATTGTTTGTATATTATATGGTGTTAAAGTATAAATATTATATATATATGTATATATTTAGTATATATATCTAGTATATATATATATATATATATATAATTAATTATATATATATATATATATATATTGTTGATGTATTATAGACACACACAACACAACACACGACACACACACACACAACACACACACAACACCAGCACCATATGATATATATATATATTATTATAGTTATATTACGTGTATATACTATACATAGGTATATATTATATATATTCTTATATATTATATAGATATGTAGTGATGTGATATATCTATGTATAATAAAATATATATGAGTATACATATCATGTGTAGTGTTAGTATTATGTATGATAGTATGTATATATATATGTATTGTTGATCGTTAGTTGTTATGTATATACATATGTATGTTGTGTCGCATGGAGATGTGTGTGAGAGCAAGAGATGAGACGAAGAGATGAGAGATGAGAGAGAGAGATTACGAGAGAGGAGGACGGAGGGGGAGAGGGAGAGGGGGAGAGAGAGAGAGAGAGAGAGAGAGAGAGAGAGAGAGAGAGAGAGAATAAGACAGAAAAAAAAAGATAGAGAAAAAGAAAGTGAAATTGTGGCCATGTACAAAGGTATATATGCCACATACAAAACAAGATAAATCCACCAATTAAGAGAGAATAAGACAGAAAAGAACAATAGAGAAAAAGAAAGTGAAATCGTGGCCATGTACAAAGATATATATGCCACATACAAAACAAGATAAATCCACCAAATAAGCCACACGATACACTCAAAATTAATATTCAGGGAGGCCTAAATCTTAACAGAAAAGCATTTCAGTTTTTCTCTATTCTTGTGAAGGCTGAGAAGCAAACCCACAGCTTCTACAGGATCTAAAATTACAACTTTAAATATAATATTTTCCGACTACCTCCTCCCCCCTCCAAAAAAATTACAAACACTAAAGATAGTTTCAAGTGAATTTTCTCCTAATGTATTTTTAAACTGGCAGTCTTAATGGTGATAATCCTCAATAAGTAACAAGAAAACAATGAAGGCAAGAGTAATGCTAAAAATAATTCAAAAATAATTCGAAAAAAATATATTTGGATACATTCAGAGCACCTTCTCTTCACCGCAAAAGAATAAATAAGAAAACAGGACATTTATGACAATCTTGAGACTTATCTTAATATTTTCTGCCAAAAAAAAAAAGTGATGCTTATCATAATACCAACAACATACTGATGAATAATAAATAAAAAATAATAATAGTAATAATACCATTCACAAAACAGGCTCTCTTAAATACCTCTGCAAAAACACAATGCTCTTCTATAACAATTAATATCAATAATAATTTAAAAAAAGAAAGAAAGAAAAAATTTAAAAATAATAATAAAATAATGGAAATAATTGGAAATGATGTACAGTACTTTTAGAAAAACATTATCATAACAATATCTTAAAATCTATAAATATAGTAACAACAGCACTATAAAACAGTCCTGCATTAACCTATTGGTGCTGAGTACATGAACTGTCCACTGTAGTCTTGTTTTGCCTATTTTGTGTATATATAAGTGGTTTCATGAGCACTTAGCTTGCAAGGAGTCAATCACTACGCCTGCCTGGTTGGTCTGGTTTACCCCATTTCTTGGATATTCAATTTTCTAATTTCTAATAATTATTGTTCTTTACATTACTATTATCATTATCATCATTGATATTATCATTATCTAACCCCTTAGTGATGGGCATGCCTATAGCCATCATGACGTATGACACGTATACATGTCCTAACTCACTCTAGCAATCGAGCAGATGGGCCAGCTGTACACAGCACACGTCCGGCCTGAAAGGCTATACTGTTGCATAATTATTACGCCACAGAAAATTCTGGCCCCATCATAAGAGGGTTAACATTTCTAACAATACCTGTAGTTATAGGAATATACACTTTTCAAAATTAAAGGAATACAGTTAATAAGTAAGATCAGATATGCCTAGTAATTGACTCCTACATGACTAAACACATGGAGGCATCTACACATGAAAAAAAAATACTAATAAAAAAATAAAATCAAAGTGGACAGGGTATGTGTACATGTTACCTTGGCATCAACAGGTCAACATTCACCATTATTGATGTTCTGGAATCAAATAAAATTCCTAATATCAAAACTAGAAATCACCGAGTCATATCTTCTTGTAACCTTGAAAGCTACAGAAAAATATCACATACAACATGGTCTTCATAATCTCTCATAATTTCTCATACTCACACAAGCAGCCATCATATTCAATTCATCTGGCAGCAATTTGCACTTTGGCATCAATATTCAATTGTATTCTCTGATGCAACAGTCAATTAAGGGGACATATTATTTGTTAAATTTAAAATTATTTTGAAAGTCTGTTCAGGAAAAGATTTATAGTACATAATAAAAGTGGAGAGAGACATAACAATAACAACAGTAATAAATAAATGCACTTCTAATAATGCAAAATTTTTAGAAAAAAAAAATGTTGCAATGAACATCCATAAAGTTATCTTTTCCCCCAAACATACAATTTGTTTGAATCAACCTCTTGAACACAAAGTGGAATAATATTTGCTGAAATTATTGGCTTGTTCCATCTGTAGGCCATACAACACACAACAAAGTACATATTAAGGTTTCCCTTTGTTTCATGGATGAAATAATGATAAACCTGTTTGTTCCTCAAAAATGTAAACACTGGAGATAAATCAAGATAAATGAAGAGTAAGAAAAGGAAGAAACCAGAAAAGATCGTTTCTAAAAAGTCTGATGAGGAGCTTACTCTGCTAAGCTCTTCAGTGCTCCTGAGTTCTTCGAAGTCCTCTCTTCCTCCTTCTCCGTCTATCACGAAAGCCTTAGCTACTGTGATTTGAATACCAGAAGAAAAGCAAAGGAATCCCAATCAGGAGGATGGCTGCTGCCACCATCATCTTCCACCAGCTGATACCCCAATCAGCTCCCTCACACTTGTCTGGCTGCTCCAAGGGGCGAAACCGCAGGTCCGTGAGGGTAGCCGCAGCTTCATCTAGAGACTCCTTGTACGTGCTGGTCTTTTCACGGATCTGGGCCAAGTCTCGCTTCATATTGTCCAGGAACCTCTTGGCATCCTTCTTGGTGCGTGTATCTTTCAATATGCGGTTAATGCTGATGTAGCCTACATGCATCTCAGAGTCACTCTCATACTCACTGCAGCTGCTGACACTCCTTGTGCCCAATACTGCAGCTCGAGTACTAGCAACGTTCTCCTGCCTCTGCTTGCTCTCTTCATCAAGCATTTCCGCCAAAACCGAGTTGGGTTTCACCGGAATCTTCAGAGAGTTTAAGGCAAAGAATTCATTCTCTTGGAAGATCTTGTTTATTCTCTTCAATTCTGACATCTGAAAAAAGAGAAGTGATTAATAAAATCCCAAACTTGAATACTTTGGGTTTTATACATTGGGAACTACAAATCATCAATCAAAAAGAAAAAAGTCTATCAATCTTTATCACACTCTGCAGATGAGATTTCTAGATATAAAAATAATCACAGACAATGTATAGGTAACCATCTGTGGTTGCAGAAAGACCTTGTATATGTATATTAGTCCATTCTTTTCATTAAAAGGTAAAAATTTGTTGATATCAATACCATTTTTTTAACTTTTTTTTTTTTTTTTTTAGAAATTATGAGATAGCTTTGAACTTTATTTAAAAAGTTCAATGGATTTACTAAGTCTAAAATACTGCTATAAAAGAAATAATCATCAGGTGTATGCACTTTTTGTCCCTGACACAGAAGACATACACATAACATCAATTTAATGTTAAAATAACTGAATCTGATTCAAAAAGGCATATTTTACATGGAAGAGATAAAGTTAAATTTTCCTAAACTTTTAATGCAGTGCATATATCAGTATTATTCTAGGCAAAATATTCAGAATAAATAAACAAAATACATTTTCATATACATATCATCCTCTTATCATCTTATTATCCTTGTGCATCAGACACCTCAATCATTTTTATTACTTATTATCCATATCATCATCATTATCGATTATTGATCATCTTATATTATCATTATTATTATATCAGTTATCATTTATTATTATTATTATCATTTATTATTATTATTATAATTTATTATTATTATTATCATTTATTATTATCATTATCATTATCATTATTTATTACTATTATTATCATCATCATGATCATCATCATGATCATCATCATCACTATCAATGCTATTACTATTAGCATGGTAAATTATCATAAGGTTCTTTACTTTACTAATAGCAATAGCTCACTGGTTATGATTAACTACTTGTGGAGCTATCTATGTTTAAAGACGATTAATAAGATTAACGCACATGGGAATGGCATGTACTTACATACTATCCCTAGTGGGTTCAGGTTAATAGGATACAAAAGTAAGAGAGTACTGAATTTCCATCGCTACAGCTAAAACAAATTTTTGTCACAAAAAATTAGAAGCCATCGCACAGAAACACATTTCTGTCCTCCTAACTAACTTCCATATAAAAGAACAAGAAGGAAAGAAAAAAATAAACAGACATTTCTTACCGGAATTCTGTACTTCAGAGATATGCTCCTGAGCGTCTCTCCACTTTGTATGGGTCTGTCAATCAGCTGCTCATGTTCAGAAACGAACCTAACTGGGCTGCTGCCGGATGAGTCTTTCTTCTCCTGACCGTCAGACTTCCTTACAATCTTCTTCAGCTCAACGGCATGTGATGTGAATATCTCCTCCTCGTCCTCTTCGCATGAAATGTACCCGTTGCCGGCTCCATTCTCAGCGCTGGAAAGACGTCTGTACTTGTAATTCCTGGGGAGAAAGAGAAGGAGAGAAAGCAGTCAGTTTGTGACCTCCATAGCAACTGGTATGCTGAACTTGGTTTGATTCTGCAATGTGGGAGGTAGGTGTTACAAACTAACAAGGATATGTTATTGAGCTTCTGCAGAGTACATGATGTTAGGTAGGGGGGTGGAGGGTTGCAGGTACATTACTTAGTTGTCATATTCAAAATGTTCTGTTTTATCCTTCATGCTAAATCCCTTTTACACCCTTTTAAAAGTAACAAAGATTCCACTATTCCATACAGAATCATTTTTTCATAAAACCTAGTATTGTACCTTTGAATACTGAGTGATTTACTCTTCTTTAGTCAATACCTCATTAATGGGCACTGAAGTAGGAGTGATATTTTTGAAGTACCAATCACAACAGTACTAACAGTGGTACCATTTCTTCAAGGTAATCACCATTAGCTACTATCATTCTGTCAGATAGTATATCTTGTAAAATAAATTCAGTAACTGAAATACGTCTATATGGTATAAAATATGAGACATAGTGTAATATTCCATACATATTACTATACACTGACTGTTTTTGATACCGTGAGCATTCAGTACCAAGGGACACTCATCTGGTGTGCTATGGCACCCTATATGTATCTGAGCAGAGAAAAAAATTACCAAGAGAAATGAACTATTTGACAACTTAACCCATTTCTGCCTGCACACACTGAAGGTCCTGATTTGGACCTCCTTTTTTAATGAGTCTACACAGGATGCTCCCTTCCCAACATTTCCAGTGATGTCAAGCCCTATGCCTCTGCTTAGGGCTTGTGAAATTGCATAGTAATGATAGGGTATTTCCCTCTATCTGCTGTCCCTGAATTGCTGCAGTGTGTGTGGACTAACATCAGTTTCCCAAGTCTGACGCCCTTATTAGCAACATTCTATCACTCTTACTACATTATCACATGATTTATGTGGTTTTGACATCAAATGAGGTGTTGAGTCAGGCAAACTCTTAAAAAATAGAAATTCAAACTTTAATTGACACGTCAATCAACCACACCTTAATGTGATTGATTGACATGTCTCACTACTCATGGATATTGTGAAGATGAATAAAGCTGCCAAACAGTCTATTTTCTCTGTCACTTTTTTCAGTTCAAATACAAACAGGGTACCATTTCCTACCAGGCAAGTGCAGCAGACACAGTCAGATGAAAATTGTTTAGATCAAGGAATAGTGGCATTCATAAAAACTCAACTACTATTCATACATACAATTAAATTAGTCTAATTACAGTCATAAACACAGATAAATGACTTCTTCATATTCATTTAAGTTATTTATTTTCAGAGAGGGAGGCCCCATGAATAATGTTAACCCTTCATTCCTAATTACAGTTTTCAGTTATTAGTTAAACTCAATTTTCCAGCCAATGTTAGAAACAAAGAAACAGTCTGAAAATCAATATCCCTCAACTTCTTTTACAGAAGTATATATTACTACACCATCTTCTTTAAAAAATCAAATCAAAGCAATTCTTCAATTCTTATTTCTTAATTCTTTAATTCTCATTATTCCATTTTATGTACTTCTTCTTTGAAGGTATGCATACAGTACATACAGTAGAGAGTTAATAAATTACTGAATAAAAAACCTAAATTCTTTTTGTAATTTCTCATCTGAGAAATTATAACACTATTAAAATGCAATTCCAATACAATGGAAAACCAAAGAAGAATTCTTGTATTGATAACATGTTTAAGGAACTCCCATAGGCATACCTTATGTAAAGAACTCTCAAATGCATTAGCAGTAATATAGTTTACTATAATAAAAAAAAAAAACTTGTGGTTATTATTGATGTCTCCCAAGTGCTGCATAAATAAATAAAAAAATGTTTACTTCTTTCAAGTGACGTTCATCAAATACTGTTTCAATGCACACTTGTACACACATATTAAACTACTCCTCTATATATCTGAGCGTGTGAATGTACTACATATAAGGGAAGACAGGAGGAAAAGCTTAATCAGAATGTTTATGGACAAACATATATATATCGATGGGATACTCATCAAAAGGACGAATGCATACCTTGTCTATTCATCTAGTTTAGATGGGTAAAACTCATCTATGGTACCTTAGCATTTTATTCTCTTTTGTTCATTCTTTTTATTGAAGTGTTGTAGTACCTTACGTGCTCATTTTTAGCGACCGTGAAATACTCTAAAGCAAGGTGATATTATTCAAACATATCAATGGGAGCAGAGATTTGAGTGCTTCTGACATAATCATTACCATATCTGCATGCTGACCAATTGATAACTGTTTTGCAAGAACACAATAAAGAAATAAAATTAAAGAAAGAGAAACTGTACACCCACATATATATCTACTGAACCTTAACTTAGTAATTTATATGAAAACAACAAAGCACATTCCTAAGTAGCTAGACAGATATCTACTATTATGATATAAAACTAGGAGTATTTACCCTTACTAATGAGAGAGAGAGAAAAATGAGTTACAGAGAAAATATGAAACAAAATGAGAACAAAATGAGAACAAAATGAGAGAGAGAGAGAGAGAGAGAGAGAGAGAGGAGAGAGAGAGAGAGAGAGAGAGAGAGAGAGAGAGAGAGAGAGAGAGAGAGAGAGAGAGAGAGAGAGAGAAGGAGAGAGAGAGAGAGAGAGAGAGAGAGAGAGAGAGAGAGAGAGAGAGAGAGAGAGAGAGAGAGAGAGAGAGAGAGAGAGAGAGAGAGAGAGAGAGAGAGAGAGAGAGAGAGAGAGAGAGAGAGAGAGAGAGGGGGGGGGGGGAGAGAGAGAGAGAGAGGGGGAAGAGGGAGAGGGGGCGAGAGAGGGGGCGAGAGAGGGGGAGGGGGCGAGAGAGGGGTGGAGGAGAGGGAGAGAGGGAGAGGGGAGAGAGAGGGGGAGAGGGAGAGGGAGAGGGAGGGGGAGGGGGAGGGGAGAGAGGAGGGGAGGGGAGAGGGAGGAGAGGGGGAGAGGGAGAGTGAGAGGGGGGGGGAGAGTGAGATGGAGAGGGAGAGGGAGAGGGAGGGGAGGAGGGGGGAGAGGAGGGAGAGAGAGGGGGAGGGGGGAGAGAGAGGGAGGAGAGGGAAGGGGAGGAGGGAGAGGGAGAGGGAGCGAGAGGGAGAGGGAGAGGTGAGGAGGAGAGGGAGAGGGAGGGGAGAGGGAGAAGGGAGGGGGAAAGGGAGAGGGGAGAGGAGAGGGAGAGGGAGAGAGAAAGAGAGAGAGAGAGGGAGAGCAGAGACAGTGACAGTGACAGTGACAGTGACAGTGACAGTTACAGTGACAGTGACAGTGACAGACATACATACATACATACATACATACATACATACATACAGACATACAGACAGACAAACAGACATAACAAGAAACAGAGAGATATATGAACAAAGAAAGAGGGGTCTGTTTGATTTGATTTGATACAATTAATTTACAGAGCAGGGAACATGCACTGCAAAAAGTCATAGTAAGATACCAAAGCAGCTATTCATATTGACTACCCTTCTATCTATGCAATGGACAATTTAGTCAAACATTAGTTCTACATGCCTGAAGGTCTCTTCCCATTGTGCTTATAGTATTCACATATAAACTGGGCAAATAACAAATCTTTTATATCACTAGGCCTAATAATATTCACATCTCACACCAGACACCAGTGTCAAAAATAAATGTAACATAATCAATATGTGATATTTTATGGAGTGCTTTTCTGTTGATATGATGCATTTTCATGCAACAAAGTAAGTAGTTGGTAAAATTATGCAACTTGGGTGCCTTATACATTTTGCAAGGATGATACAAAATTGGCTTTGCCTCTAAAACTGCATCATGTACATACTGCATAATATACTGATAACCTATGCATTGACTGGTCAGTGGAACATGCTGTCTCTGAGACAGTCCATAATATACTTTGTACCTAGGGTTTGCCCATATCACACATCCCAGTAAAATACCAGATGATACCATGTCCACTGTTACTTGGCTTTTCATTGGTGTACATCTGACCTCTCTGATCTCAAAGACAGATGATAACACATATTATCATTTGATTAAGAGATAATGGTACTGTCTAGTATGGTTCTTCAAGGGAAAGTGCTAATTTGGCTAACTGATTAACACTGTCACAGATTATGATATAGATATCCTTGAACAGTGGGAGAACACAGATGACATTCAGGCCTAATAAATGCAAGGTTCTCTAATTCACTAGACCATATACACCACTACATTACACTTCCACTCTATACAACCAACAGTTGACACCTACTAAATCCTATAAATGCCAAATAGTACAACACACATACAACCTCACCTGTAACACATATTGACCATCACTAACAAAGCTAATAGAACACTAGGGTTCCTTAGGAGAAACCTGCACAACTGTACACCAGAAATTAAACCCATAACGTATAATACACTTGTATGACCAAACACTGCAGTCTTGTATGGCTGTATGGGACCCCTACTACAAAGAAAACATTTGAGTAACTCAAGCGGATCAACACAAGGGCATCCAGGTTTATTACACACTATTGCATACATACATCTGCATTACAATTCATATAAAAAAAGATAGATAAACATGGGAATGTTCAAGACACCAAGACAAGCACACAGACTTACGGTTTCGTATAGACTGTAAACAACCATACTGACATAAAAAAACAAGAATACTTATGGGCAACACACACACAGATAATTTGATGCAATTGAAAATAACCTTATTGACATTAACAAACAAGAATACTTACAGGCAACACAAGCACATAGCACACAAAATTAACACAACAGCAAGTTCTTATTTAGGCCTACCACGCCAACATTAATGCTGCATTCAGAACTTCTTGTCTTACTAGTCCAGACAACTTATCAGGACCACCAGGACTGGCCGTGTTCAGACCTCCGAGGCCTTCATTGTCCACAGTGTAACCAGCTTAAAAGTAAACCTTAACCTTTTTATTATACCAGTGTCTTCATTTTACACACTGCTGTTAAGGTTTTGTAATTCCTTTGATACATAGTTAACTCACCTACAACTGACTAACACAAAAATACTCTTTAATAACATCAATAAAGAGCCATAAAATTACCTATGAATATCTTATATTTGCCTGTAACTGTCACTGTTTACATACGAATGCTATTGTGCCGTCATCACATCCTGCTCGCCTGGTTGGGAAGGAGGATGAGATGGACGAGAAGTACAAATTGTCCAAGATGCCAAAGAAAGGGTTCGAAATGCTCAAAACATTGTGTCCAACTTGTCCAACTTGTTGGACATGGAGTTCCAAATGCAGCATAACTCTTACATGGACATTCTTTCCACACACCATACATGACTGGAACAGGCTACCATCTACCTAACAGAAACAGCTCTTAAAATTTTTACAAAAAGATGAAAGAAACTACTAACAAAACAAACACCTACACAAACAAAAACTCTACTATTCTTTCATCCATCCCCAGCAAGCAACCACTTCTGTGTGATATGTGTTAACTTACTGCCCTATGCATTAAAATTAATACTGAGAGAAACAATCCAGATGACATAACCATGTCATGAAAAAATTTGGCTTGAAGGGCAGGAGATGTGAACACGCCATTATGAGAAAATTTGGCTGAAGCCTGAGATAATTGGAACTTGCCATCGTTAGCATTTTGGCTGTAGGTTGGTGTGATGGGTATGACTCCCCATGAGAATAAAAAGCTCTTGGAGAGCAATTAGACAGTGGGCATTTAAGAGGGGGCTTTTGTATGATTTCCATTGATAAACCAGTGTGGAATCTACCATATTGTCAGCCATAACTGGAAGAGCAATGACTTCATGGAGGACACTATTTCCATGTTCAGAATCCTATTCCTGGCAGCTGTGACCAGTGGTGCAAAATATCAAACGGGAAAAAAATCAAATAGAAATTACACAAATATCAAAACAGTTATTATTATTATCATTATTGCACCGAGTTACAGACTATCTAGAAAGATGATATAGAGTCTGTGCAAGGAAAGTAGTCATTTACAATCTGAAAAAAAAAAAATCAAAAGACAAATCAACATTGGAAAATGGTTAAAATGCTAAAAATACTTCTGCAGAAAAAAGAGAAAATACCTATATTTTGGGCCTCATGCAAGCAGTGAAGCATCCAGATCCAGAGGTTAATCTTTTAAGAAATTTTAGGACTACCCCAATCACAGTCTTTGATTCCAAGATTATCAGAGACTTCATCTATGACTCTAACAAAAGACTTGCCCCTTGTGGTTTTCATCTAAGACTCACACTGTGCAAGATTTCAAAGTTAACACTAGAACTAATTTACCCAGATGATAATCCACAGTAGAAATTAAATAGAATAACTATTGCAATAAATTTCAACCATATAATCACTTTAACATTAATATGAACATCTTTTATACAGACATGTAGCACCCACTACCTTTGTTGTCATCGTGGGTCCATTTACATTTACTAATGAGAAAACTGTAGTAAATATGGAGGAAACACTTCAATTACTGTTTGACAGAATGTAAAACCAGTGGGATGCAAGTGTTCACATCTATATTTATGCGGAGTCACCTTCAGTGAAAGTAAAATCACATTGTTTTCCACATATTATAAGGATAATTTTAAGAAAATCCTTATAATGTAGTACACAGTAGAACTGCCTTAAACCAGCCAAGTTATAGACAAAAAACAGTTGTTAAATACTTTTGTGAAAAATCATTGACAAAAATGCAGAAGCGGCACTTTTCATCTGGCTTTGACAACTTGATGAGTCTATAGCCTTTCATGCATACCACCCTAGGCTTGCATATTCAATCATGGACCTAACAAAAGAAATGTCCATTAACCTTAGTTACCTTCCATAAAGAGTACACTATCCGAACTTATACTTAGTTGCAGGGTTCACCAAGGAAGGAATTCAGGGGAACCATCAAAGACGTGTTAAGAAGACTATGCACTGTTAGCTGATGATAAAGGTAAAGCATCAGGATATAGGGGTAAAATGTACCAGCGTGATATGGCAAGATGTTGCATCAACGGCAGCAGACATGTTAGGTATATAATAGGATGTACTTCTAAAAATGTTAGTTTATATTCCCAGTATATTTTTATAATATTTTTTTTTCAATGTGCTCTTATTAGTTATCATTGCAACAGTTCTCCTTAACTATTACTACAACTACTATCATAAAGGTTTGTTTACAGACAGATTTTAAAATGACATCATCAATTTAATACAACCTAAATCTCATTGATGGGAATACAAATAGTCTTACATCTTTATAATTGGTGCAAACGGGTCATAAAGACTGATATCAATTTATCATGTTTTACATAAAACATTTAAATAGGTTTTTCTCAGGGGGGCTGTGGTTTAATTATGAGGCGATTTAAAGGTCATCCATTTACCACAATTCTTTACTTTTTTTGGATACGCATTTTCTCCATTGCATACCAAAATGTGGTGAGCTGAAACTAGCAATGGAAAATAAGAACGAATTTTCAAACATTCTCAACAAAATAAAAGAACAAGGTAAAAAAAATAATAGATTAAAATGACAGTCTGTGAGAGGGAGAACACCATATTTCTTTTGGATTTCCTTACTTGTGTGAAGAATATCCACCCGCCCGTCCATTCCAAACGGAAGAACTCATCTTTAAGTCACATATCCAACGTCAGGGTCGACACCTGCTCTTAGGTAAAAAAAAAACTAAAGCTTTCTTAGCTCACTTCTACTTTCCCATAACTCGAGATCCCTGCGAGCTATAAGGAATGGAAGGAAAACAAACCAAGGTTAAGAAACAAATGAATGCCAAGCTGATTGTATGAGGTTGAGTTCTACTTTGGATCCTCTATTGATGGCGTTATAAAGGTTTCGATGTTCTATGACCTGAAAATATTCAGTCCTCTATAGTCGTCGTGGAAGTTATCCGAAGTGGCAGAAATTTGATGATAATAACGACTTAAGAAGTTCGATTAAGGTTTAAATGTTAGCAATGATAATAAAAAATAAAGGAAAAATACATAACCCTTCACGTGTTTATACGGTTATCTGTCTTATCTAACAGATGACAAAAAAAATTATACTAGTATTATACATATATATTTCTGTTTTTTTCCCCTCTCTATTCATTTATCTGATAACCATAAAACGCATACCAATCCCCCTAAAATCGAAAATTCATAAAATAACGATATATATATATATATATATATATATATATATATTATATATATATATATATATATATATATATATATCGTTATTTTATGAATTTTCGATTTTAGGGGGATTGGTATGCGTTTTATGGTTATCGGATAAATGAATAGAGAGGGAAAAAACAGAATGTTGTTGTCAACATTCTAAGTATTTCCTAAGATCGGTCCCCCGCGCGCCTTAATCAGCTGATCGAACGCGGCGACATCGAATAGCGAACAGAGACGAGAGACGGAAAGAGAGAGAAAGAGAGAGATGGAGAGAAGAAGGAGAGAGAACGAAAGATAGAGAGAAAGGAGAACTTTGACACGTTTAGACAAAAAGTAAGATTACATCTTAAAAGGATGAGGTAACAGGTTATCCTAACCCTTAAATAAGTTCATTAAAGTAACGTAAATTAAACGTAATCTAAGTAAACGAAATCTAAAATCTCCTCTTCTCACCTAACCAATGCAATATATATATATATATATATTATATATATATATATATATATATAGAGAGAGAGAGAGAGAGAGAGAGAGAGAGAGAGAGAGAGAGAGAGAGAGAGAGAGAGAGAGAGAGAGAGAGAGAGAGAGAGAGAGAGAAAGTAAAACAATACCGGCATATAAAAAAAAAAAAAAAATCCGAGCAATAGGCTTCTACAGATGGCTGCTGGTGTTCCATGGCCGTTGCGTGTCAGGGTAGCTACATGGCGGAGGTTCACAAGATGCGACATACATACATACATACACACACACAACACACACACACACACACACACACACACACACACACACACACACACACACACACACACACACAACACACACACACACACACACACACACACACACACACACACACACACTGTCAACGTGAGTTGGTGACTCTCCGCCGTCTGTCTGCAACTGATCACGATTTTTGTAAAGAGGTAATTTTTAAGTACAAGTAATGTGCGACAAAGCTCAATTCATCGGCAGCAGTAAACGTGAACCAGTAAGTACGGGTAGCAACATTCGGCGGGTTTACGATTCCTTCGTAGGAGATTCAACGGCGTCTGGGCTTGTATAGAGAAAAATAAAGAAGAGATAGAGATAGGGACAGACAAAGATAATGGCAATGATGATGGTAACGATAAAATTATAATAATAATGATAATGCTAATAAAATAAATGATAATGTTGACAAAAGAGAAGAAGGAAGAGAGAAAAAAAATGTAAAATGTTGTAATGTGAATGTAACTGTCGGGTATTACGCAATAAATTTAAGAGAGTGCGTAACCCTATTGCAACAGGTTTCGATTCCATCAAAGTTACATATTCACCAAAACCTTAACTAAGAAGCAGAAAGAGCAGAGAGAGAGAGAGAGAGAGAAGAGAGAGAGAGAGAGAGAGAGAGAGAGAGAAGAGAGAGAGGGGAGAGAGAGAGAGAGAGAAGGGGGGGGAGAGGAGAGAGAGAGAGAGAGAGAGAGAGAGGAGAGAGAGAGAGAGAGAGAGAGAGGAGAGAAGAGAGAGAGAGAAGAGAGAGAGAGAGAGAGAGAGAGAGAGAGAGAGAGAGAGAGAGAGTAGACCATTAAAGCGAGTTAGAATGTTATAAAACGTGGCACTTAGTACAAATAATCCTAGAGTGAATTCGTGTAGAGCGAATAAGCGAACAATTACCGCGGCAAGTAAAGGGAAAGTGATTTTCAAAACACCACATGTATAAATTCACAGAATGAAAGTGAAAACGCAAGCAGGAACAAAGGAACTACTAATAAACAGCACATCAAGTGAAGCAACGATTACTGTAAATTCGCAACTATAGACACGAGTAATATACGCGGGAAAACCGATACATTATAATTGGATAAATTGCTCTGAAAAAAAATTAAAACATATGCAGTATGAAGACAATATACGATAGTCTCAAAGACACACATAACACAACAATATACATCAATTAAAGATGGTTGGGGAATGACGTGGGGGTGAGTGAGTGTCACAGTGACCTGTGCGTGACTTCGTTGTGAGTTAAAACAATTAACAGTGAGCCTGTATAATGGTACTGAAAGTGCTGTAAAGTGTTGTGGGGGCCTGTCGAGCATCTTTTCTGTTAGTTCAGGAGTGAAGCAAGACTGTGTCCTTGCACCAACCCTTTTCAACACGCATGGACTGGATACTGGGCAGAGCTACTGTTCAAAATCATTGTGGAGCACACTGGAATATCAAGGTTACAGACCTGACTTGCTATTCTATCTGAGTTGTTGGAAACCGTGGAAAGCTGCGGCGCTGCGATAGCATTTAGCAATAGAAGCGAGCCCTAGGGTTCTCAGAGTTCCTGGACCAAGACCAAGGTCAGGGAATTTTGGACGTTAGATAACACTGTATCACCGGGTACGTCTTGCGCGAGGAATTGAAACACGAGAGACTATACCTTGGAGTGTAGTTCATAACTCTGGCCTGTCAGACCATGAAGTCAGCCGAATTGGCCTGGTAAGCAGGGTCATAAAATCTCTCAACAAGAGTATCTGATGCCGCGGTACCTGTGCAGAAAGACCAAGCTACGGGTTTTCAAGGCCCTGATAATACGTTTTGCTAATACGGTAGCGAAACCGGACATTGTCCTGTGCCTTGGAGGCTCGTCTCGGAAGCCTATCATTTTGTATTATGGGTCCTAATGCGCCAGATCATGGGGTACGTGTTGA